GCTGCTGCTGGCGCTGCTGGGGACCGGGTTGGTGTTGCGCCGCACCGGTCTTCTGAGGTTTGAAGGGGGCCGGCCATGAGGGGCAGGGGACGGGGCAGCCTTGTGGTCCCCGGTGTCCTGGGTTCCCCGCCTCCCGTGCCCACTGCTCGCACACAGGTGGAGGAGACATCAGGAGGCGGAGTCCCAGCCTTCAGGGCTGCCCCAGGGCTTCTCCAACCCTGTGTTCCACTCGGCGACCTGGAAGGAGCAGGTGAGGGTGTGGGGAGCTGCGGGTCCCTCAGGGCTAGCCCTGGCTCTCTAGGCTGACCCGTCTCCCTGCAGCCCCCAGTACAGCTGCCCAGCGTGGGCCTGGATGTGGACAGCAGCACCTGCTATTTCGTGAACCCGCTGTTTGTGGCCGAGACGGAAGCCTGATACCCAGACCCCACCTGCACAGTGGGGACCCCCACCTTGAGGCCTCCTGGTGCCCACAATAAAGGGTTTTTTTCTGCACCCAAGGTCACGGACAGTGCCTTCTGCCTGCCCATTCTCGCTCTGCTGGGCCACACAGCTGGCCGGAGGGTGGGATGTTCAGAGCTGGGAGGGGAAGTAGGGGTGAGGCCTACTGGGAGCTGGGGCTGGGCGAGTAGACGTCGGTGTGTCACAGGTCATGGGTTTGCCACTGCACCGCCGTGTCACCTGTGCACAGGATATGGGGCTGAAGGCAGGGCCTTTGAGCTGGGCTGTACCTAGTCCTGGGACTTCAGGTTCTGAGGCAGTGGGGAGGCTGTTATGTGTGTCACCTGCCCAGCTGTCACAAAGTGACTGCTTCTGTGTGGCCAGCAGCTGGGCCTAGAGACAGTGCTGGACCCTGATCTTCCAGGCCAGGCCCTGTTGTTACCCTACAGACCTCCTGTCTCTGAGGCAGGGTCTTGCTATGCTGCCATAGTGGCTTTGAACTCATGGACTCAAGTGATCCTCTATCCTCACCCTTAGTAGCAGGGACTGCAGGGCAATGCCACTGTGCCCAACTTCTGATAGCTTAGTTCAGCTGTGTGGTACTTCTGTGAACAGGACTCCTGTCTCTGGCTTTTCTGTGGCACTTGTGTCCTGTAGGAGTAACTTGCCACTCATGGAGCTGTGGCATATTTCACTTTGTTGATACCACTTTGTCCACAGCAGCTAGTATTTCGTTTTTTAAAAGTGGCCTAGAGCCAGCCACTGTGGCACATGTGTATAACCCCAGAACTCTGGGAGGCTGAGGCAGGAAGATCGCCAAATTTGAGGTGAGCTTTTGAATCGGAGCAGTCCCGGGAATAGCTGCTGGACACCATCCTGGAACTTAGCCACTCAGCATTCCTGGTCTCAAAAAATAAAGGGCTGGGGACAGAGCTCAGTGTGGACTCTGGATTCAATCCCCAGTACTTAAGAGATGGCCAAGAGCCAGTCATGGTGGCTCACGCCTTTACCTCAGCTACTTGGGAGGCTGAGACAAGAGGATCCTATGTTCTAGGCCAGCTTGGGCAACTTAGTAGACTGTCTCAAACTAAAGAGACTGGGATGTAGCTCAGCACTCCTTGGGTTCAGCGTTCTGAGCAGCACAGGTGCTGCAGCAGGCTGCCGCCGCTGTGCCATACCACCTGCCCTTCCCTCTGCCCACACAGGCTCTGACCACCACCACGATTTCAGGAAGGGCCCCAGGGCAACCTGTCTGCTATTCCAGCTGCAATCATACAGGCCCAGTGCTTGGCAGCTGGTGTGGCTGTGCCTGGGAGAAACGCTGTATCTGTGGCAACAGGAGCCAAGCTATGCCAACATCCAGTGGGGCTGTGTTCCCCACCATGGCCCCACTGCCCTCAGCCACACTCCTGGGAAGTCACAATCCCTGCCCCCCCCAGGTCTCGGCAGGAGGCAACTACCTGAGCTGGCCTGGCAGGGGTGGGTGTGGCCAGGGCCCCCGCTCTGCTGTGTCAGGCTTGTGCCACGATGTCGGGCTCACTGCCCTCAGGCTGAGACCCTGTCCCTTGCTCCACTAATGCCCCCTGGGGGAACCTGGAAACCAGCAAAGACGTGCCTCACGGACACGTAGCCCTTCCATGACCTCTGTGCTCAGTGTCATCTGCGGCGACTGCTGTCCTGGGTTGCTCCCAGGTACTCAGGCACACTTGGTGACACCACCTTACCCCAAGCACGGGGAGCTTTAAAACTGCCACCTTCTGCTTTATTGACAGGTAAATTGTTCAAAAATGTTCTCACGATTCAATAATTACAAAGACTCAGACTTACATTAAAAAAGTAAAAACCAGAACCCCAGCAGGGACCTTGGCGACACAGGCCTGGAGGGTGGGCGGGGCAACAGGTGCTGGGTGTGACACTGCTGTGTCAGGGCCCTCAGTGCCAAACTCCCCCAAGTGCGGGTCCCAAACAGCTGTGAGCGTGGCTAGATGGGAGGACAAGGAGCCGTCCTGAGCTGGGACAAGCCTTTACGACAAGGCCACAGACCTGACCAGACACGACACACGAGTTGTGGCCACTATGCATGAGTGTCAGGTGTTTCCCACCCAGTCAGAATGGTTGTTACTCATGGGGCTCCATGTGTGTGTGGGGGGGAGGCCCACACCCACTGTGCGCTCCCTGGACCATGGCCACCTCTCCAGCAGGTGGAGTGGCTCGCAGCAGCAGGTGCTGGTGACGTGTCCTGGCTGTGTTCAGAGTGGACTTCCACGCGGGACGTGGTCTGCTGGGCCTGGGTTCTGTCCACAGGCAGGTGTCACCTGCAGGTGGCTGTGCAACGGGAAAGTGAACTGGAAGGCCACAGCCGACCTGTGCTCTTCTGTCCACAAATCTCACGATGCGGGGTGACACACAACTTGCTATTATTCTCCTAGGGGCTTGGGAATGGCTTCAGGCAACAGGGGAGACAGGCGCTGAGGCGCTGCACAGGTGAGGCAGTGCGGGTGAGGTGTGCGGTGGTCCTTTGTGTGGCCTCAGCTGTGCAGACAAGTGGTCTGGTCTACGCCACCCATGGGATGCGGCACCCAGCTGGGTCCTGACTGACACAGACTTGATTCGTATCTACAGACGACCCTCCAGCTCCGAAGACAGCACTGTCAGCCCAGTCTTGGCAATGCACGGGGAGGGGCCTCAGGCGTCACAGGCGGGCTGCTCCAGACCGTCGAGGGGCAGCTGGCTCCTGTGGGGCGAGTTGGGGCTTGGCGGGCCGCTGGGGTTGGAGCTGTTTGAGGGAGTTGAGTGTTTGGTGGAATCCGAATCAGGCTGTCGACACAGAGAAGGGATGTGTGAGAAACCAGTGCTGGCCTTCAGGTGGCCATATGGCACTGCTCCCCTTGGGGTCACCTGCAGCCATGCTGCAGGGCACTCAGGGCCTGGCTCCAGCTGGCTCCTGGGGAGAGCAGTGCTTGCTTGTGGGCACTTGCACTGCCCCGGGACTCATGTACACTCGAGCACACATACTTTTCAAGTGCAGTGAAGAACATTAGAAAACACCCTGCAAGGATCTTGAAGAGACCCCAGAGGTCACTTTGATAAACTGGTCTGCATAAAAATTACTACAAACTGGGCAGGGGATTTAGCTTAGGGGTTCTAATGCCTGCCTCGAAAGCACAAGGTCCCTAGCTCAATCCCTGGTACCCCCCACAAAAAAAATTACTACAAACTTCTGTAAGACAAAGCACACTTAAGACAAAATACTAGAAGACCTTCGATCCTGGGAAAGTAATGGCAGCTGAAAGCTGCAATTTGCCCTCCTGTCAGAGGCTCGCTCAGTAGGGCAGGTGTGGTCTGCGCCGGGATTGGCAGGCACACTGGTGGGCGTGACTGAGCGGCCACGAGGCGAGGCCTGTCCTGTCCCACCCCCTCCCGGGTGGGGGCGCTCCTCGCTCTTGCGGTTTTCCACTGTGTCCTTCCCCCAGACGCGCCTGACTTGCAGCCAGCGCACCGGACTCTGGGCTGAATCCCCTGAAACCCTGGGCCAAATATATTGTCACAGAAAAGAGCAAGCAAACTGATACGACCGAAGAGGGTGGGGTGAACTGGTGCAAGAAGACGCCAGGGCCGGCCCGGCAGCAGCCCCACAGGGTGCCACCTTGTACTCCTTCTCTAGAAGTATGTCCACGGGCAGTCACACTGAGGTCAAACAGGCAGCAGCTCTCAGAGGCCTGAGAACAGTGCTGCCTACAAAGGACACCAAGTGGCTCAGGGAAGTGGAGGGACAGCCCAAGCCAGCAAAGAAAGCCCCTCTAAATGAGAGCACCTGGAACTGAACCCAGGGTGTGGCAGGGCTGCACCCCCTGCCCTTATTTTGAAACCAGCTTTCACGAAGTCACGAAGTTGCCCAGGCTGGGCTGGAGCTTATGATCCTCCTGCCTCAGGCTCCCAGGGCACCGTGCCCCTATGTCACATGGGAGTGTAAGGCCCAGCTGGAGATTTAAAAGGAAGGACAGTCCTGCTGGACGCAGGGAGCTCTCCCGACTGTGCGGGAGCTGCAGAGGCTGCGCAAACCTCAGGGCGAGAGCCTCTTGGGCTCAAGACATCTGCGCAGCCGTGTCACCAGCTGGGCCTCAGCCTGGCCGCCCAGGGTGCTGCTCCAGGGATGACAAAGGCTCCTCCCACTGTGCAGCGTCCCGGGCCGGCGGCCTCACCTCCTTGTCGAAGTCCTGGTCGGGGTCGGACATGCTCCTCAGAGGCACGGTCACTCCAGGCTCTGCCCCGCCTGTGAGAAGCACGGCCTTCATGCAGGGAAAGCCTCGCGCCAGGGCAC